AAAAAAAAAAAAAAAACAGCCTAAGCTGCTTCTCTTTGATTTGGTTTAGAACTAAGTGTGAGATTTCCAAGCGGAAAATACACACCAACGCAAAAAAGAATCTTTTATTATACCTCGTCTTGACTATTTTCTGAGCAACTGACCAAAATTCAATCTATGTTCTAGACATTTTTCTGATTTTGCTAGTTGACTATTTATTTGCATATGTGTTACGTATTTGGTGCTCGGACAGAGCCCCGGGCCTCCCACGTGCGCGCCCTCTGTCTGGAAGCTGCGCTGCCTTTTTACCCTCTAGCTCATTTCTTCGACGAGGTCTCACGAGCGCGCCCTACGGGCCGCCGGTCGAAACTGCAGCAGATCCCAACCCTGGCGGAATCTGCCAGCTCTACGTCTCAGACTTTTACCAAAACAGCTTTTCCGAGTGACACTTTTACCGCCCTGACGTGAAACTCACAGGTAAGATTGCCTCACCCACCACACAGGTAATTTCAAAATAAATCAGCATACGTTCTAAGACATATTATGAAAGAGCGGGCAGCTTTTTCTTTCTTTGAGCAAGAGGATTATTTGGGTTTGTGATTTCATAGGGACGGATGCTTTACAATAAACTGATAGGTTTGCGAGAGTTGACCACCCATCTATACCAAGAAGTGACAAATGTCAAAGCATTTCACAGGGAGGTCTGTGACGGCTCAGACCCCACTCACTGAATGCCCATAACCCACCTCAATCAACATGACTAAAGAAATGTCTTTGGTGTTTTTCCAAACTGCACCCTGTAAGAAAGCAGTGCTGCTGAGCGTTTCAGCATGTGTCTGCAATCCCAGTCCTCTAGGAAGCTGAGGCAGGAAAATCCCAAGTTCAAGCCTAGCCTGGGCAAAACGGCGCCTTTAATCTCAGAATTTTAAAAATTCAGAGGAAAAAAGGGGCTAGGGATGTAGCTCAGTGCAAAGCACCCCAAAAAAGAAACGGCTTGCGCTGTGCGTGTGGATTCGTGTCTGTAGTTCCAGCTGCTTGGGAAGCTAAGGAAGGTTGCTAGCACCTGGCCAGCCAGGATATCTTGGGCACCATAGTGACACTATAAGAAACAAGAGAAGGCTGGGCCTGTGTCCGAGACCTGCCGAGCAAGCAGTTCAGGGTTCCCTGGACCTGAAGGAACCCAGTGAGGTCTGTGACCGGCCTGGGCCGTCCGGGGGGCGCCAGGGCCAGGGAGCAGCTGGGGCAGGCTGCCAGGCGCCCTTCTGCCCTCCGAGGGCCGGGATCCGGCTGCGCACTCTCCCCCCCCCCCCCCAGGTTCCTTTTGTCCTGAGCTCCAACTGCGCTCGTTTCCAAGGCCCTGCTGATATATAAGAACGTGAAATTCCCAACCTGGCCTGGATGAGTTTGTGTTCTCTAAAACCTAAGAATGAATTTTAGGAACAAATGGAGGTTGAGGGTAAAACTTTATTGGAAAGGAAAACTTCTGTCGGAGAGGGACAGAAGGGGGGCCGAGTGGGTTGCCCAGGAAGCTGTCTCTTCCAGGTTGTTTTTGTAGGGCAAAACCATGCGGGGCTAAGGTAGAGACGAAGGGGTCTCACTTAGGCAGATACAGGGTGGGACAAAACTATGGTCAACCAATGGGATTACAAGCACCATTGCTCAGGTAAAATTGATTAGGCCTAGGACCAAATGGGGTAGCGAGTCACATAGCAAGCGGGCATGAATGTAAATCAGGACCTTATCTGGTGGCCTTCGGTCGATGATTCTTCCCGACTAAAGAGCAATCCTGGATGCCAACTTTAGGGAGGCCAGCATTTGTTTGATCTTTAGGTCTGGCTCACACCAGAAGCATCTCCCCAGTAAGGTGTCTGGTCTTTGTCATCTCCTTCGAGGGCCTGACCCTGTCTAACTGCCTACAATATTTTTATCTAACTCAGGCTGCCTGCAACACTGCGGGCGGTTGGGAGCAGAAGTTGGATGAGAAGGACACAGGAGGAGGGCGCTACCGGCGACGGTGTCCCTCCCCTGCCCACCCTGGGTGTCCTCCGGCCCACCTGCTCTGCACCCCGACTCCGCACCCCTCCCCTCCGCTCACCAGGGCTGGGCTAGCGGTGCTGACTGGCCGGATGTCACTGCCCCGCCCCCTGGGGACCCTGAGGTCTGAGCTCATCTGCGGCCCAGCCCGAGGCCTCCCAGCGCCCTACCACCCTGGTGTCCCCGCCCCACACCACCTCTTCCCACCTCTCTCCCAAGGAAACCCGAGAGTGCAGCGTGCAGCCCGCATCCCTCTCCGGAGTCCCCAGCTGTCGCGTGAGGCACCCCAAAGCTGGGTCCTGGTGGGCTCCGCGGGGAGGGAGAGGGCGGAGCCCCGAGCCCCGCCCGCCCCGCCCCGCCCATCCGAGCGGCACACCCGGCGCAGCCCCAGCACCGCAGGTGACCCGGCGCCGAAATGCAGCCGCGGCTCTGGCTCCTCGTGGCTGTGACCGTTACTGTAGCCGTGAAGAAGCTCGCAGGTGAGGCTGGGGGACGCGCTGCGGCAGGGGCGGCTGGGGAGGCCGGGTGGGGAGTCACGCAGGACCGAGAGAGTGGGGACTTTAGGAACGGTGTCTGGGGCACACCTGTCATCCCATCTTTCAGAAGGCTGAGGCAGGAGGATCACAGTCAATTCTAGGCCAGCCTGAACTACTTCTTGAGACCATCTAAAAAGAAAAGGAAAAAATAAATAAATAAAAGATACTGCTGAGACCAGAGGCCAGCCTTAGACACATAGTATGTGCCGGGCAGGCCGGGTCCCGGAAAATGAAGAGGAAAGGCTCACAGGTGAGGTCCTTGCTCAGAGATTCTGAGAGCCCCAGCACCAGGCACCTGGGGAGGGGGAGAAGGAGACTCCGGGAAAGATCTGCAGAGGAAGAAAACGTGCCCTTATCCAGAGTCCCCGCAGGGAAAGCGCCTCTGGAAGGCTCCCCATCCTAGTTCCATCCTGAAGCCAGCGGAGAGGCCCGCAGACACTACTACTTCCCGGAAGTGTCTGTGCAGCCGGTCGGGAGGACTCTGGCCAGGTCTTGCCGGCCTTGGCCCGAGCCAGGTGCTCGCTGGAGGAAAGGCTCCCGTGTAGCTTGGGCCTGCACAGAGTAGGGCAGGGTAGAGAGCCTCAGCCAGGCGAGGAAAAGGGCACTCACGACCAGCCAACCTGTGGGGAGCCACCTCAGGGCTTCCTGAGAAAGGTGTCCGAATCTGGGGCCACCCCATGAAAGGTCTCAGGTTCCCTCAGTCCCGCTGCAAGCCAGGAACCCGGTTCACAACTGGGTTTGAAACTGAATCCTCTGCGCCCTGGGCTGTGTGACCTTGGCCTTGTCCCCAGCCTCTGGGGAGTGAAGCAGTGTAAACAGTCCTCCGCCTCTGGGCTTGGTGAGGATCAAACGGGGCAGTGCATGCCCTGTACCTGGCCACTCCATCTATGAACCCCAGAGGTCAGTGACCCAGACCCGTGTGAGCCCCAGCCCCACTGAGAAGGTGCTGTGGTGTCTGGGGGCTCGGAGGAAGGAGGAGCCCCAGCAGCCCAGCCAAAGTGAGGTGACGATGGGCAGCTGGGGCTGTGGAGTCGCAAGCTTTGAGCTACTTCATGGGACCTAGTCCAGGCAGGCCACCAGGAGCCACCAGCTCTGAACATACACCCTTTACCTTCTTGGTGCCTCCCTCTGCTCCAAGCCAAATGGAAAGGCTCACTCTGAGGCTTGTCCTGGAGGCTTCGTTAGGTGCTGGGAGCAATCCTAGCCCAAGCTCCGAGTCAGCAGATAGGACTTACCCATGCATGGTGCTTTGGCCTGCAGCGTGATTTCTTAGGTCTCCTTTCATGTTCCCTTCCTTCTTTCTCTTCCTTTTTCTTCAGTACTAGAAACTAAACCCGGGCATTCACACTGAGCTCCTTCCCCAGCCCATCCTTCCCTTTTGCATTTCCTGAGCCAGGATTTTGCTGTGTGTTAGGTTGCCCTGGCTAGGCTTGAACTTGCCACCCTCCTGCCTCATCCTCCCAGAGGCCTGGGGTCACCCAGCTTCCTTTCATTTCTTTCAAATCTGAAAGCAGGACATCACCAAGCTCCCTGCCTTTCCCAAGGAGTAGATGGAGTCTCTGACCTGCCTAAGATCGTAGCTGGTACAGGGCAGAGGCTTCGGTCAAGGTTGACCTGTGAGTCTTTGATTTTTTCATGATCAAGCTCCTGCCTGCTAAAAGCTTCTACCTGCAGTGAAAACACACTCCCAGCCCTGCTTCTGGGGCATCTGTCCTTCTGGGGTGTGGGGACCCAGTGACCAGTCCATCCTCGGGTGGAGATTAGTGGGCCTCAACTGCACCTACCACAGCCAGCTCCTTCAGCTGGTCCGAACAGTGGCTGGTCCTCTCAGGCTGTCTAGACCAGCCCTGTGTTCTGCCTGGGTCGCAGCCCTGTCCAGCTTGCCCTGGGGCTCCAGCAGCTGCTCTGAGCACCGCCTGCATTGAGTGGCAGCTGGTGAGGTGAAAGGCAACCAGCTTTGGCTTCAGGTTATGGATCCTGGAGTTTGAATCCCAGTCCACTTCTTAGCTGCAAATGTGACTTAGAACAAATAACTTCACGCATGAGTTTTCTCATCTGTGTAATGGGTGTAAAAATCCCAAAGCCAACTGGGCATGATGAGGCACGCCAGTAAGCCCAGCACTCTGGGAGGGTGAGGTAGGAGGATCCTGAGTTCAAGCTCAGACTGGGTAATCTAACAATTTATTAAGAACATGCCTCAAAATGAAAAATAAAACAGTGGCTGGGGATGGATCTCAGTATGAAGACCCTGAGTTCAACATCACAGTACAGTATCACGAAAAAAGAGAAAAGGAAGAGAAAAAAAATCCCAAAGCCAGAAGGCAGGTGTCTAAGGACATAGTGTACAAATGCAAGCTGGACATGATAAGTTCCAGCCTTGCTGCACGGCTCCTGGGGGAGGGCCAACTTGAGTCCCTGTGAGTCCCAAGGCCCTGTCACTGGCAGCTGATGTCCCTGACCTCTTGGCACTTGTAGCTCTCCAGGGCAGCAGTCACCACCAGCAGACTCCCAGCTCCCTGGTGCTGCAGACCAACCAAGAGGCGACAATGGACTGCGAGGTTAAAGGCCCCCTGAACAACGTCCGCATCTACTGGCTGAGGCAGCGCCAGGCCCCTGGCAAGGACAGCTACTACGAGTTCCTGGTCTCTGAGGATTTGAACAAAAACACTGCCTACGGCAAGAACGTGACACCAGGCACACTCACTCTGTCTTGGAGTTCTCGGGGTACCACCCGCTTCATTCTCAGTCTCAAACACACGAAGCCTGAGGACAGCGGTGTCTACTTCTGCATGACCATGGGGTCTCCTGAGCTGAACTTCGGAACAGGAACCAGCCTGAGTGTGGGTAAGAGCCAGACTCAAGGGCCTGGGATAGCTCAGTGGCACAAGCGCCTGCCTGGCAAGTGCAAAGTGCTGAGTTTAATTCCTGGTACCAAAAAAAGAACTCAGCTCTATGCTAGAAATGGGAATAAAAGGCTGGGCACGGTGGTGCACACTTATAGCCCCAGCGCTCACAAAGCTGAGGCACAAAGATCTTCATGAGTTCAAGGCCAGCTTGGGCTGCATAATCATCAAGCCAGTCTCAAAAAGAAACATAGTAAGATCTTGTCTCAAAAAAGTTTTGTGGTTTTTTTTTTTTTTTTCTTAAAGAAAAAAATGAGCATTGAGCATCTGCAGGTGCCAGGTGCGTGCCTGGCACTGAGGCTGCGCTGCTCCCAGTGCTGGCCGACAGCCGTGCTCCTGGGGCTAACAGGAAGCCAGCACTGAAGATCACCCAGCCAAGCACTTGCACGAGCTGCTCATGGCCATCTCCCTGCTGCCACTTTCTCTGTTGTGGAGTACATTATGACTCCTGTTTTATTTATTTTGAAGTTTTGTTTTGTTTTTTAGAGACAGGGTCTCGCTATATACTTCAGCTTGGCCTTGAACTCACTATGTAGCCCAGGGTGGGCGCTAACCTACAATGATCCTCCTACCTCAGCCTCCTAAACTGCTAGAGTTATGGATGTACATCACCACACCTAGCTTCCTTTTTGTCATACAAGCATTCGATGCATATTTTGTCTATCCAATGCATCTTTTTTCAGCTTGGCCACATGCTGTGTGCACACCTGTGACAAGGGGCTGCTCCACTGGTTGGAGGGTGGGGAGTCCATTGCTGAGGCTGGGAAGGGCTTGTGGCAAAATCTCCCAAAGGGACCCCAGAAATTAGACCATTCAGCATAGGGAATGTCAGGGACACCAGGGCCAGCAGTGCAGCAAGGAAGACAGGGAGATTAGAGGCTGTGTCGCCTCTCAACAGTGCCAGGGTTCAGGTTGCATCGTGGAGCATGGGAAGTGGGGGCCTCTAGGGTGGGACCCACTGGTTCTTCTTGTATTGAAACTGAAGCTTTGGGGTTTGTGTTTGCTGCTTTCTCTCCAAAGCTGCATCTGTTCCCCCAGATCCCACAGGGTACATCAGGAAATGAGCACAGCTGAATTCTAGAAGTTTCTCCCCACCTCACCTCCCACTGCAGCACTCACTCCTGGCTTCCCTGTCACCCTGCCAGCACCCTGGAACCATTCCCTCTCCCAGCCAGGAAGGGAGGCAGAGCGTGCCTGTCACTTTCAAGGACACAGAGGGAGAGTTTTACTGGGGAGTCAAGAGGAAGCAAGGGGACCTGACTATAGCCAAGAAGCATTCAAAACCCATACCAGGCTGGGTGTGGTAATCCTACCCAGGATACGTTTGAATATTTATAATCCCAGCACTTGGGAGGCCGATCCCAGCACCTCCTGCTGAGGCAAGAGGATCTCAGTGATTTTGAGGACAGCCTGGGCCACATAGTGAGACCCTCTCTCAAAAAAATAAATAAATGAGGCAAAGAGAAGCACTTCTGGGGTTGTGTTCATTCAAGCAGTGACACCCCCTCCCCATGGGGACGGGCTCCTGGCACACTCAGGCCTCACCTGGTGTCAATTTTCCCTCAGGGTGGTTTCTCAGAGGCCTGATGGCTACCAACCTTTGGGCCACCTCTGGGGTGTAACCCTGCCAGGAACTTCACAGCCTGTGCAAAGCGAGGAAAACAGGCAGTGTGGGTTGTAGAACCAAAGCCTTGGGGCGCAGATCCAACTGCGGGTCAGGCGCTTCCTCATGTGGGTGAGCTATCTCAGCCCCTGAGCCAGCCCTCCTTGTAGATAAAATGACGGTGGTAGTGCCCATCCCGGAAGTTGTCGAGGCCAGTAGGCTGAGCCTGAAGGGCTTGGCACTGCCCACCAGCTTGCTGGGAGCTGAGCATACGTTCATTCCAGTTCCATGGTTCTTTCTGTAAAGAGCCCACTACAGCCCATGTTTTTCACCATGCAGAGAAGGCTCCAGAGAATAGGCCGAGACATCTATTTGTTTGTGTTTGTAGAACAGGGTCTTGCTGTATAGTCCAGGCTGTTCTTGAATTCACTATGTACCCTAGGTTAGCCCCAAACAGACAGCAATCCTCCTGCCTCAGCCTCCCAAGCTGCTGGGATTACAGGTATGAACCCCTGCACCCATCCAAAGTATCCACTTAGGATATGGAAGACACCAGCCTGAGATGACCAGTCTGCTAGCTACCTCTCTTGCCCCTGGGTTCCTTCACCCTGGCTCAGGGTGACCAGACAGAGAGGCCCTGGGTACTTTGAGGCCTCAGGTCCAGCCCTCTCATCCCTGTTCTGCTCCTTTGAAATACACACCTGAGACTAGAGGTTCCTCCAGCTCTGTAGTATTAAATCTTTTATTTGCACTACTGAGATTGAACCCAGTGCCTGTGCATGGAGCTATATCCACTACCACCCTTTCTAGCCCACCTTTTAAACTTTGAGACAGGGTCTCACAAAGACAGTAAATTGTCTGAGATCAAACTTGTGATCCTCCTGCCTCAGCCTCCTTGAGTACTGGGATTACAGGCTTCCATCACCACCCCTGGAAAGCTCTAGATTATAAGATTTTTAAGGACACCTGAAAAGGGAAACAGCCCCCGGCTGGCACCCTACATGGGACTGCAGTGCAGAAAGAGCTCCCTCTTCCTCCCTTTGGGCTCCTCCAGTGTAGGGGTGCAGTGTAGGGGATCCCAGCTTCAACTCCAGGCTTTCTACTGTGGGAACCCACAGCCACTGCACACTTTTGGGGTGCCTTGTTCATTTTAATTCTTACAACAACCCCAAGAAGGAAGTGGGAGTCCTCTTTTTTGAGCAGCTGAGGAAACTGAGACATAGAAAAGCACAACCACTTGTCCCAAGGGACACTACTGTGTGCCTTAGTCGCAGGCATTGGCCTGTTCTGCTTATGGCTCCAAGACCTTCTCTCTCCGGGACACCAAGTGACCCCATGTCCAGGCCCCAGATACAGCAGAGTCGGGTGCCTGAAGCGAAAGTTGCCCTGCTCTGTGACCTGAGGTCCCGTAGCAGCCCCGGGAGCGATGGGTCTTGGGACTGCAGCACTAGGGTGAAGTGCAGTTTGTCACTAACCCTTGGCTGAGACTTGCGTCTGCTTTTTCTGCAGTTGACGTCCTGCCCACCACCGCCCAGCCCACCAAGAAGACGACCCCGAAGAAGAAAAAGTGCCAGCCCCCCAGCCCAGGGACCCAGAAAGGTGAGTTCCCTGACCCTCCCTGCCTGCCTCCTCAATTCTTCTGAATGTCCTGGTCCAGGGTGGTCTGTAGGCAGTTCCTCCAGCTCCAGGCTCAGAAAGGACACAGGGTGACAGCCACACGTAGGCCGCTAGGGTCAGACTCACAAGTCTTCACAGCACGGAACCTGGAGGAGGATCTGTCTCCCAAAAACGCCTGCGCACGGCAGCTCCCAGCGGCACCGCTCGTCACAGCCAGAGAGTAGAAACTACTAAATGCCACCAGCAGCTCGTGAACGGGTTGGCAAGATGTGTGACCCATTCCAGGGAGCAGTGCCACATGGCCACGAGGGCGAGTGAAGCCCTGGCAGATGTGAAAGCTTGGGTGAACCCGTGGACTTCTATGCAAGTCACAGAAGACACTGGACGGAGCTAAGCGTGGTGACACATGCCTATAATCCCAGCCTCATGGAAGGTTGAAGCAGGAGAACGTGAGATCAACCCCTGCCTGGACAACATCAGTTTAGTAAGATTTCATCTCAAAATAATTTTTTTTTTTAAGTAAGGAGAGGGCCGTAGCTCAGTGAGAAGGCTCTGGGTTGACGCCCCAGGATTACACATGCACAACAAAGACACTGTATGATTCCGTGGATATGAAATGTCTGGAATAGGACCTCACACAGAGTCAAAAAGCCGAGGCGTGGCTGCCTGACCAGAAGGCATTCTGGGAAGGGATGAGAAGTGGCCCTTGTTGTTCCAGGTGTCGGTCCGGAGGGGGGGCAAAAATGTTCTGAAGCTAGCTTATGGTAGTGGTTCTGAAATGCTGAAAAGTGAAAATTAAAATGTACACTCGAAACAGGTAGACTTCATGATGCGCAAATCTGTCTCAGCAAAGCTGTTACAAAACAAAGGCTCCAACCCCGAAGAGCAGCCTTTCCATGTTTCCACGCTGCTGCCACTCAGGACACTTGGCACGCAGGACGGGGCTCCAGACGCGTGCCAGTGAGCACACAGACCTGCCCCTGCGCTGTAAGCACCTACTGCCACACGCTCATACACACACACACACACACACACAGATGTGTGCACATGGACACATGTTCCCCTGAGCCCACCAGCTCTGATGCGTTTCTGGAAAAATACTGACTTCAACCCCCCAAGGCTCTTGGTAGCAAACAGAAAGTGCCATCTGCTGCTCCGCAGAGAACAAACCACAAGCGGCAGCCCCCGCCTGCTTGTGCCACTCGGGTGGCTCCATCCTCAAATCCAGAAGACTGAAGCATCTGGGGGCTGGGGGCTCACGGGACCTGGGCACTAAGGATCTGGCGCTGCCGCAGAAGGTCAAAGTGAAAAGGAAATTCTATGCCGGCACTCTGAGGGGCTGAGGCAGGAGGACTGAGCATTTGAGCCCAGCCTGGGCAACTTAGTGAGATCTTGTCTCAAAATAAAATATAGAAAAGGGCTGGGGATATATTTTAGTGTAAAGACCCTGGGTTTCATCCCCAGTGCAGGGTAGGGGAGAGATTACAGCCCATGAACAGAAAAGCAACTTGATCTTGTTTCATAGCGTATTAGGCCCCAAGAACTTCACCTAATGGATTTCAGGCTATAATTTAAAGGACACAAATAGCACTGGGCCATGAGGATGGGACTGCAGCAGAAGCCAGCCGGAATCAACGCCTTGCTCCTGGGGGCCTGCAGTGGTTTCACTGGCCACCAGCTCTGTCCTGGCCCTCCTCCAAGGATGGTCCCCTGCTGCCCTGTGGCCATCGCTATCCTCTGCTGACCTGATATCCTCTGCTGATATCATCTGCGTGGCCTACACCCCATTCCAAATATGCAGCCTCAGGGAGTTTAGTGAACCCACGGGTCATGCAGCCATCAGCAGTGTACGTTCAGGACACCTTGTCACCTGTGTGTCTGTGGCTGGTCCCATCCGCACCCCAGCCTCAGTCACCACTAACCCTGTTCTGCCCCTGCCTCGCTGGCAAAAGGAGCTGATGGAGCTTTCAGCGTGGCCTCTTTCATGTGGCACTATGATTTGTGGGTCCTTTAAGATGGGGACTGTAGACAGAGAGAGGCAGAGGGCCCTTGAGTCTCATGTTTACGAACTGCAAAGTGAGAAAGAACACAGTGGTGAGACCCTCCCTCCCTCCTTCCTTCCTTCCACACAAGATGAAGGTCTGAGCTGACCACGGTGAAACGCTGTCCCTCCCTAACATCCAAAATGCCTTCCCTCATCTGCAGCCTTGTCCTTGGTTTTGAGTCGCAACTGCTCAGTGGGACACCCTTTGGAGCCCAGGGGCCACCAGACAAGGACAGGGACACTGAGAATGTAAACCCTGGCCCTTAAGTAGCATGCACATTGGGCAAAGGAATGGACAGCCAGCACTCCCACAGGAGAAACAGCACACACAGGCCAAAACAGGCAGTAGGCGGAGGCTTACAATAATCTGAGAATGAACATACACACACACACACACACACACACACACACACACACACACACCCTCTGGACTGGGAAAACTAAAATGCCAGTGATATCCAGGGCCTGTGTTAAGGGGTGCTATGCAGTGGGCAGCAGAGGAAGTCCGTGTTATGTTTGCTAAAGGCCCTGTCAAGGACGGAATCTGAAGTGGACAGGGCTCTTCCTGTTTCAGCATCCACCGCTGTACGTACTAGATTCCCACTGAGTACAACAAAACTCAGCCAGGACCCGTACACGGGAAAACTCGGAAACTCAGTATCTGCCTCTGGACGGCGCTTGCCTGTGGGAAGATACCGTGGTGTGCTCGGAAGGGTTGTCTGGTTTTAGTTTTTATTTTTGTGAGACAGCATCTCACTCTGTAGTTTAGGCTGGCTTTGAACTCAATGTGTAGCTCAAACTGCCCTCAAATTCCTCGCAGTCCTTCGGCCTCAGCTTCCCATTGCCATCACACCCAGAGAATTTTTATTGTTCAATTTTTATTAGTACATGTTTTAGTATGTAAATTATTACATCCATGTTACATTCATCTTAAAGAGTTGATGCACGTACATAACATACCTGAGTGCTTTTTATGTCACCTTTCCTGTCCCCCTCCATCTCTTATCCCCTTCCTAGTTGCAGTTTTTGTGAACTTTAATTTTTTTAATAAGTAGATTTTAAAAAATCTCATTGTCCACCTCTTTTGAATATAAGTAGCTCCTGAGTTTAAGTAATATTTTTAAAATTTGGATGTGAGATGTGAAATTTTTTACATAAAATTATCTCAGTGGTATCTGAAGGGCCCACAAAAATGACTTCGAAGGACAGTCATGACAGCTCAGAGGGCCAAGAATTAGCAGGACACATGTGTGACAGGTGTTTCAGCAGCCTGTACCCCTAAAGGGGAGAAAGATCTCACACTGGAGGAAAGCTATCAGTGTGACGTGGCCCAGGGAACATGAAGGTCGCAGGGATTTCAGCTCCCTTGCAGAATATATAGCTGGGGACAGCCACACACTTGGATACCTGCATATCCAAAGTTGCTGCCCTGTTGGGCATGCTGGCACACACTTGTAATCCCAGCCTTTGGGAGGCTGAGGCAGGAGAATCTCTGTGAGTTCATGGCCAGCTTTGGCCAGGCTGTATAGTGAGACCCTGTCTCAAAAAGCCAATCATGCCTCACAGGGGAACAGCTTGGATTATGTAGCCATCCAAGAATTTGGTCATACCCAGCCACACTCTGCCGCTAGCCACAGCACTTTCAAGTCATTGGGATTAATAGCCTGAGGAGCCCGAAACTCTCCTTGGCAGGTTTGCCAACTCTTACCTGCTCAGAGCCCCTGGCGTCAAGAAATGCCAAGGGAGCCAGGCCTAGCGGTACACACCTGTAACCTCAGCACTCAGGAGGCTGAGGCAGGAGGATCACCAGCAGTCTAAGTCCAGCCTAGGATGCATAGTGAGACGCTGTCTCTAAATTAATTAATTAATTAATTAAATTTAAAAAATAAACTAGAGGGGGAAAAAAGACATGTCATGGGGAACAGAATAAAAAAAGGAGGCAGAGGAGGAAATGCGGCAAAATATCCCTGGCATGCCCTGGCTGCCCCTTCCTGGGGACCCTCTTCTTGTGCCTGTCTGTGAGTCTATATGTTCTGCATCAAGCTCATGTCATGGGTGTCTCTTCCAGGCCTGCGCTGTGGCCTCATTACCCTCAGCCTTCTGGTGGGCGGCGCCCTGCTCCTGCTGCTGTCCCTGGCCGTGGCCGTCCACCTGTACTGTGAGTCATCCCTCCCTGGGCTGCCTCGGGGCCTCATCTGCTGCCTGAGGGGCCCCTGGTGTTGCTTTTTTCTTTTTTCTAGATGAGCACAGTGCATGACAGCCTGCTCCAAACTTGCACCCGAGATGCAAGATAGTTCTGGAAGTGATTCTGTTGGGGCTTGGGGGTGCTGGGATTGAGCCTTGTCACTGTACCACTGAGTGACACCCCCGACTCAAAGCCCTGCTTCCCCAATCAGAGACCACAGTCCACAGCCGGGCCAAACTAAGTTTGAGCCCCGCACTACTGCCCCCATGTTATCGACCTGGCTCCAAACTCAGGCCTCGGCAGCTGTGTTTCCCAGGTGGGGTATGGCAGGGTGTACCCCATCCAGAGTGCCCATTGTGCAGCATGTGTTGGGGGGCCGGGCACCCAGGAGAGCTTGTCCGGGGTGAAGCAGTGTCCCCAAGGGTCCTTCCCATCAGGGCACAGAGAACCCAGGCTGGTTGCTGCCCTTGGCTGCTCCAGGCTTATCTCACCTCCCCCATGGGCTCCCAGGCTCTGCACTCCTCGACCTCCCCATACAGGAGGGGGAAGAGGGGGCACCTAGGCTGGCCCTGCTCACCCATTCTACCTTGAGCAACACCCGACCTCTGGCTCATATACAATGGGGGGACCCTGAGGGCCAGAGACCAGGCCAGCTATTAGGGCTCATGTTCCCCTTTGAACATATGGTGACCAATGAGGACCCTCCCCTCAGACAAATGAAGCAGTACACACGCACTGCTTTGCTTCCGAGCCCCCCAGGGGACCTGTGCTTCCCATTCTAAGAACATCATCAAAGTTTAAAGGTCTACATTTTCCCCAAAGAACTAAAAATTGTTACCGCTAACCGCAGTGAGCTATGTAGTACACTGTGGATGTTACTGGTTGCATTTTAAAGAGAAAAGCTAATAAAGGGTGAGCTGGAGATGTAAGTAAAGCAGCGTGGTGGCACAGGGGCACAAGTCTGTGATCCCAGCGCTCTGAAAGACTGAGGCAGGAGGGTGGCAAGTTCCAGCTCAGCCTGGGCAACTGAGCAACATAGCCAGAGCCTGTCTCAAGATAAAAAAATCAAAAGGGCTCAGGACGTAGCTCAATGCGAAAGTCTTGGGTTCAGTCCTCAGACTGCAAACAAAGGAAGCAGAGCTGCTGCTTCCTCCCCGTGTCCCATGGAAGATCTGTCGCCTGCCTGACCTCTCAATCTGACCTGCTGTGAAGGGGCAGAGGGAGCTGAGGGACAGACTCTGGTAACTGCATCCTCGGGGATCCTGATTCACCACTTAGTAGCCCCACAGCTTTGGACAAGTGACTCAGTGTCCCCAAGTGTGGAGTGGATATAACTGTAGTAGTAGTACCACAATCACAGGTTGACAGTGAGAAAGAAGGCGATAACATGGGAGAGGGGTTGGCAGAGCCTGGCCTGGGAAGAGGTCTGAGGCCTCAGCTAGCCCCCCACCCCACTGCTTCCCTGTTCTGGCTCTGTGCCAGGGTCCCCAGCAGCTGATGTTGCCTTTGTTCTGCTCTTCCAGGCCTGCGGAGGAGAGCGCGGCTTCGCTTCATCAAACAGTGAGTGTTACATCATTCTCCGGTGACAGTTGCCCAGCCTCTGCTGCTGGGCACAGCCTCACGTGTCAACTTTGTACAGTCCTCAGCAGAGGAGGTAGCAGAGCTCACGAAAGGCTGATTTAAACAAAATACCGCATAATTCCTTAGCAAACACGAAGTGAGATTCAGTGCTTGGCCCTGCTGCCCACCGCTGTCAGCCTATGCACACAGAGCACCAGGGGGACCCAGGTTCCCTGAGACCTCCCATGGATGTGGCCACTCCCACTCTATAGCGCTGGGTCAGGCTTTACCCAGGAGCCCACAGCATCCCATCCACTGCCCTCCACCCTGCCTGGGCCCGGGAGCCAGCAAAGCCACAGACTGAACCTCAAAGCCCAGGGACTGAAAACTCCCCCCAGGTCCCTGTGCCCTGAAGACCCCAGTGGAAGCAGCGGCTGCCAGAGGCTGTGCTGCTCCTGCCTCCAGGATTAGGACCCTGGCCCTGGCCTCCCCAATGTTCTTGCATCTGCTTTTCTTCCTCAGGGGAGACTGTTTCACATCTGCCTCCCTCACGTGATCCTCAGAACCCCCCATTCCAGCCAGATTTGGTGGTGCACACCTGTAATTCCAGCCCTTGGGAGACTGAGGCAGGAGGATTGCTGAGAGTTTGAGGCAGCCTGGGCTACATAGTGAGTTAAAGGCCAGCCTGAACTTCTTCATAGATAGACTGTCTCAAAAGAAAGAAAACACCCCCAACCAATGTGGACATGTTTGGGGAAGATAAAAGAATAGCATCTTAATGAAAGAGGGCAACAGGGCCTGGTGTCAAATGTTCTGGCTCCAGCAAGAGGCAGTTCTGGGTTTGAATTCTGCTCTTTGCTCACTGACCGTGTGGCTCTTGGTGAGTGACATCACCTCTCTGAGCCTCTGATTTTACATCTGTAAAATGAGGTGACAGTACCAACCTCCTGGCTTTTGCAAAAACACTGGGGCAGCTGTAGAGCATGTGGTTCTATCCTGTCTGGTCAAAGCATGAGCTTATGCAAAGTCAAGTGAACTCTAGGAGACCAAGCAATCAAGAAACAAAATGTGCTTTGAAGCTGAATTGTAGTTTCTGCATTAACTGTGATTATCAAATGCTGGATTATGCACACTATGTTGCTATAGAGGATTGTTGAACTGGCTGCCTCAATGATGATTTGCAATAAGTAAATGGTGGCCTCATGGGCTGACTTAAAAACTGCCCCCTCCCTAATAGATAATGAGAGGGTACCTGCCCCAGGCTAGACCTGCAGGAACTTCCATCTAAAACCTTCCCCTTAGTGACTTTTTCAGGAGAGTTTGCCCCTCTTGGCATCACCTGAGCTCTGTATCACGCCCTTGCATCTTAACTTGTTCCCCACTGATCTGATGCCAGTTTGGGGACCCTCTCCTCAGAGAAATGACCCTGTGCATATGCAGTTTTGCACCTGAGCCCTCCTACAAAGCCCCCCGCCCTAAGACCATCATCAAAGTTCAAAGATCTAAATTTTCCTAAGGAAGGTTCCGGTCCATGAACTAAAAATGGTTGTCACTAACCACAGTGAGCTATTTAGCACACTATGGATGTTACTGGCTGCATTTTAAAGATAAAAGCTAATAAAGGATGAGATAAAAAATGTAAGTAGAAGGGCTGGTGAGATAGCTCAGCAGACTAAGCACCTGCTTAGGCAAGCGGAGGGACTGGGGTTCAATCCCCAGCACCACATGTTGGATCAGCCCCACCCTGGACGCACCAAGCCAGCCACAGAGACTTGGTGTGGTGATACATGCCTGTAATCCCAGTGCTGGGGAGGCTGAAAGCAGGAAGATCACTGCGAGTCTGAGCTGCGCAGTGAGACCCTGTACCACATGCATCTTCGTGGTCCTTTACCGTGGTCTTTGGAGAACTTGTCTTGGTCCTGCCAGATGCAATGTGTGCAGAGCCCAGTCCTGGGCTGGCTTTTTGTTGCTATTGTTGGCAATTTTTTGTTGCTATTGTTGGGATTTTTCTTTTCTTTTTTTCCTTCCTTTATTTTAACTTTTTTTTTAATGATTAAAATGGGCCCTAAAGATGCTCACATAGCAGTCTTAGCCCTAGCCTACGTGGAAGAGAGTCCTGCATCCTCTTTGACCTACCTGCCTCTGTTTCAGGACATACAGTATCCTTTGCCTGGAGACAGGGGGGTCTTACAACTTGCTGTTGCTTCCAGGTTCTACAGATGAGCGGAGACAGTGCTAATGGTAGCTTGCTCCCAAGAGCCTTGGGTCGGGAACGCGCAACATCTGGACAGAGGAGGAAGAAGGGGACACGCTCATGGATGGAAATGCTGCTGCTGCTGGAGCTGCCTGCTTTTACCTGCTGTGATTTCTTTCTGGGGGCCTCGCACTGGAGCCCTTGGGGTTCACCACTGAGAACCAGAGAGAAGGCTCCAGAACCCCAAGGAGGTTCGCAAAGTGTGCTGGAGGACTGATAGCACCAAAGTCACCACCTTTGGTTCCTGTGCCCTTCCCAGGTGGGCTGGGACCTTGGTGGTGGCCACACAGCTCACATCTTTGAAAGTTGCTTTGCTCTAGGATGTCAGGGACATTGGCTCCTGGGTCTGTTACAGGGTGGGGCTGGAATGACTACCTCCCCAAGAGGCTGCTTGTGAATAAGGCTTCCTGGGAGGGAATTCCCAGCATCCCTGGGAGCCCCCAGCCTTCCTTTGGGGCTGGGGAAGGAATTTCTCTCCAGAGCTTGTATACTTCTCCCACTCTGTCCTTTTAGGAAAATATCTCAGTAGTAAAAATAAAATCTTGGTTTAAAGATGCAAATGGCTTCTGCAACAAAAAGGAACAAAAGCTCACCCACAGCAAAGGAAGATATTGATGCTCAGTAGAAATGTAAAGTTTGGGGGTCCCCTTTGCATCTGAGATCCTGAGTAACCACCCTCCCAAGTGTTGCAGATCACACTGTGGGTGTGGGGAGGCTGGAGGGCTTAGGAAGCACTTGTGGCCCCCACTGCAACCTATGGCCATCTGCTCCTTGTCTGGACTGCTCCCTGGATAGGGCCCGAGGCCTCCTGGGCTCCCAGCAGCCTTGCAGCAAAGAGAGGGGAAGCTTCGGGGCCTCTGTCCATTTGCTTATTTGTCAGCTTTCAACCTCAGCGGTTGAAAAAGAAACAGGCAAGGAGAAATTGATGAGCCGGGTGGGAGTAGAGGACAACCCCATCTTCCAAAAAGGCCCCTGGGCCTCATCTTAACCCCTGCCCTGAGAACCAACAGCCAGGGAGCCCCAAATCGGTGCAGCCTAAGCTGTAGGCCCAAGGAGAACAAAGCCTGCCCTGTTTTTCCTGGCAGCCCAGAGAGGAGCATGGGCAAACTTGTGTTCAGAGGTCTCCGGCAGCCACAGAGTGTAAAAACATTCCAGGGAGCAGGGGCTTCGTGGCCACCTGCCAGCACCCCAGGTACAGCCATAGCAACAGAATTGGGTGTGAAGGGTGGCGGGCCAGAAGAGGCCAGTGAAGTTTGCTTTTCACAAAGCAAGCACTTGCTGCCGATCCGCTCCAAGTACAGGTGACAGGCCTCCTCCAAGGCTTAGGGGAGAGGGGGAGAGGGCTCAGGGCTGGTGAACCAGGCTCATCTGGGGCATGTTGTCAGGGTGGGCTCTCAGTGCAGGCCCTGCTGGGGAAATGGTGGGGAAATGGTGGGATCGAGGCCTCGACTGCTCATACCCAGGCTGCAGCGGAAGGAAGAGCAGGCCTCAGGTCCCCTGTGTCTCAGCAGGGCACGCGCCAGGCATCTCCCAGCTGCTGTCTCTGTAATGACATTTACTTGTTTATTCATTCAAGTGGGGCTGGGTCAGAAGGCAGCACTGGGGGCTGCGGTGAGGAGTTCTGCACCAGCACCTGCTTTTGTGTTGAACAAAGAACTGAACAAGTTAGTGCTGTCTGGGGGGCCATTGTGGCTACAGACACCAGGCTCAGCCTGTAATCCATGCACCCCAGAAGCTGGGGCAACAGGATCACCTGGGGGGGATAGTTTAGTCTACCTAATGAGTTCAAGGCCAGCCTGAATTACATAAGCAAGACACTGTCTTAAAAAAAAAAAAAAAAATCAACCTAGCTATCTTCTTACTAGATAGGCAGCAAGTCCACCCGTAGGCATTTATCTTAAATCGAGCACAGAAACATGCATGCAATTGTCGCATTCGGTTCTGCTTACTAATCAAAAATTGGAAATGACCCAAATGCCCTGCAGTAGGAGCCAGTTAGATAAATTAGGAGCCAGATTATGCAGGGAGCTTATGCAGCTCTTCTGGAATGCTCTAGGTCCATGTGTGTTGACATCGTGGTGGCCATAACATGTGCATGTATTTTGACAACATCTCTATGGATTATTCTCAATTGAATACAATTTAATGCACGGCACAGTACAGGGTGGTTGTTAAGACTCAAAGAGACAACGTTACTAGAAGTAGGGATGTGGTTACTCTTGGTGCAAGGTCCTCTCTAGCAAGTCTGGGGGACATCGTGTTATTCATGTGCATGTGTTCAGTTTGTAAGAGTCATTGCCCTCTGTGTTGGGTTTTATACATGAATACGGACATAGATGTAGATTGCACTTCAATAAAGAGCTATAGCCTTAAAAATCCAAGTATAGAACATCACAAAAATCTGTAAAATCTGTATTTAATGCTTCCCCTTTCTTCCCAGTTATGCCACACATGCCTTTTAAAAAAGAAAACTGAATTTCAGGCTGAAGGATTGTTTAGTTTTCTAGAATAAACCAGGATGAATCATAAAAAAAGAAAAAAAGAAAACAAATTTTAAAATATATAGACTATAATCCATAAAATACATAATATGTAGGATATAGAAATTCCAACCTAAAACAAGAAAAATTCTACCCTTGTTCTGCAAATTTTCTCCTCTGTAGCATATCAAGGCCTCTGAGTAGGCGTATTTATATGAATGTAGGAAAAGTCTACAAGGATGGACTCAAGCCGCTCTGGGGAGTCACCTTGGGGAATTTCCACTTCTGTTTGAGCAGAGGGGGGCACACTTAGGGGTTACATTTGTAATGGGGGAGGAACAAAAGTTTAGAAAAAAGAAATAACTTATTTTAAAAGAGATCTCTGGTTCATTGTTATTTTTTAAAAATAAAAAGAACTTAAATATCCAAATAGGAGAGGCTTGCTCCTAAAGTGCACTTCTGAAAATCTGTACCCTGGAAACCGTTGTGGGGGGAGGGTGAGAGGCCACAAGGCAGCAGGTACATGGATTTACTATCTGAGGAAACTCGGAGCACCTGCATCTTCCCCTTTGGAAGCGATCAACAGTGTCGCCTCTCCATCCCGAGAGTAGCCTGTGTCTACCGGGCATGCGCAGTAGACACAGGCTGCAGGTGTGGCTCCCATTGGGCGTTCACGGAGGAAAAGGGCTCCAAAGACCACAAGGAAGACCACAACGACGCCCCCACTTCCTTTCATCCTGACTCCTTCCCCCCCCCCCGCCTGGAGGGAGTGGGCAACTTGTTTTCAGAAAGAGATCCCCTGCCCGCGTGGGCTACAGAGCTGATCTGAATCTACCACCCAGTCAAAGGGAAAGAGAGACACAGTTCTGTGTTCACAGCCTCTGCAGGTGGCGGAGGACAAAGAGATTTCCTCTATCTTCTCGGGAAACCTCCGTGCATCACCGTGAGTCACTGGCACCTGGAGTCCTATGGACCACATAGCTCAGTGTGACTCAGGCTGAAGGGAGCCCCATTCCCAGATTCTAGGAAATGAACCCAGGGCCATCACCCGGAGCAAGATCCCCAATCTTTTCTATTTTATTTTGAGACCACATCTCATCTCACTTAGTTGCTAAATTACCCAGGCTGTCCTGCTGGGGTCACAGGTATATGCCGCCACACTGCACCTGACTCTTAAGCTGCAAGCTGCCACCTTGGTAAGAGGGCACCTGCCCTCCTGTGCTGTGCTTTGGCTCTCCAGGATCATGTTTTGTCTACGAATCTAGTCTTTCATGTGTGAACTCACTATATAACCCAGATTAGCCTTGAATTCAAGCATGATCCTCCTGCCTCTGCATCCCGAATGCTGGGATTACAGGCACATGCCACCATGCCTGGTTTGCTTGCTTGCTTGCTTGCTTTATCTATTTATTTGCATTGCTATAGATCAAACTCAGTGTTAGGCAAGTATCCTACCACTGTGCTACACCCCCAGCCCCTTTCCATACATTTATTCATGTGTTTGTTTGTCAGTTATTTATCAGTACCTAGGGATTGCACCCAAGGAGTGCTGCACTACATTCCCAGCCCTTTTCACTTTTGTTTGTATTTTGACACAGTGTCTTGCTAAGTTGCCCAGTCCGCCCTCAAATTTCAGATCATCCACTCTCAGCCTCCCAAGCCCTAGGATTACAGGCTCGTGTACCTTGCTGGGCTCCTTAGGCAACTTGATGTTGTTCAAATGAACTTATCTGCAGCACCATCTGTGTGCGCTGCTGGCCCTGGGCTGTCACAGCGAGAGCACTGTGGCCAGGACAGACCCAGCAAGCTCCAGGGCCCACCATCTTTCTTATGGTACCTGCCCAAGAGAGGTCGCAGGCCTGGCTTTTGGTGCCCGCCTGACCAACCAGGGTCCAGGCCTAGGAGAGCCGATGGGCCCTTGCTGCCACCCACATACACACAGCCACAGTTATTGAGCCTGAGACCAAAAACTAAGTGAAGAAATGAGCAGAGGATGAAGTTCAGCTCCGAGGGCCTCGGGCTCCCACAAGCAGGGCCCCTCCCGAGCCGAGGGGGCCACAGCACAGTTCTCCAATGGCCCCCACTTCTGGCCCCCACTATGGCTGGGGATCTGGGGAATGTGTGCTTTGCCTCACCACAGGGACAAGCCCACCTGGGGAACATCAGCTCAGCAACTCAAATGGGTCTTAGGCACAGCCCCTGTTCTCACCCCAGGGGCGGGCATCAGCACAGGGGCCGCAGATCCACAGCTAGCACTGGCTCAATGACTTGGACAGCATGTGGCCTGGCCGTCACCAACCTCCGTACAAGACAGACGGCTGGCTAGCTGGAGGGAAGCCTTAACAACTTGTTGGGATTCTGAGAAACGGGGTGGGGCACAGTTACAAGAGGAAGAGCTAAGGCTGTGCTGGTGGGGCCCACCACCCCCAGCAATACCTCCCAGCCCCCCTTCCACATCCTGTGGGCCTGAAGCCAACTTCAGGGGTTGCCTGCTGGCCGGGCAAGACCATGCCAGGTCCAAGGGGTGCCATGAGTCCTGCCCTCTGCCTTCAGTCCCATCACAGGCCTCAGCCAGGCTTAGGGACGTGGGGCAGGGAGAACAATGCACAATTGGAGCTGCACAAATGCTGTGCCTGGCTTCTGATCGACTCTGGGGTCTGTGGCAGGGCCTGCGGGGTAGGGGGTGGGCCTGAGCTGTCCTTCCTTCCCATCAGCAGCCCCTGCAGTCACACTGAGGGATCAGGTTCAGGCAGAGGCAGGCAGGGTGACTCCCACAGGCCCATGGGCCTTTGTAGGAGCCCCGCGTACACCTCCTCCAAGCCCAGCTCACTCGAGACTCAGAATCCTGGGGTGGAGCTCGTCTTGTGGGGGGGCTGCAGGAGAGGAGAAGAAAGGCTGGCTGGATTCAGATGGGGAGAACTGGCTGCTTAAGGCTCTGCCCTCCGTCACCCTCGGAGCAAAGAACATCCGCCCTGCAAGCTGTTCCTGGCCACTGTGAACACAAGGCCTTCCTGTTTCTTGTCTTTTCTTTTCCTTCTCT